CAATTATAATAAATGATTATAAATTATTTTATAAGTAATAAATATCTTATTTCAAACATTTAAAATTTTTTAAATAAAATTTTAAAAACAGTAATATAATCATACTTACTATTCCATAACTGTATATGTCTACTTTTGTAGAGAGTTTATGATATTTTAAATATTCTAAAGGTAGATATGGTTGAGTTCCATGAACAGTAGTAACTTTTGTATGAGTTCGATTTTCTAAAGGACCTTCTCTTGTTAAACCAAAATCACCAATTTTTGGATTAAAATTGGTATCTAGCAAAATATTGGCACTGAATGCATAAAAAAATTATATTATTATAAATCTAAATTAAAGTTTTATATTAAGTTTTTCATGTTTTATTTAAAAATCATTAAAAATTGTTTTGTAATTAGTGATATAATTGTTATAAAAAAGCTTAAAAATGCAATTTTTAGCATATTTTTTTAAAAATTATTTAATTGATTCATTAACTATTTTGAGAATGCATATTTTCATAAATATTTTTATCTTTAATCAAGATATTAGGTAAGATGTTATCAAAATGTGGGAATTGTAAAGTATTATTAAAAACATGAAATAACACACTATTACATCGATGTAATAGAAAGAGTATTAAAATATAAAAATATAGGACCTGAGAAATATACAAAATGATTATACAAGATTTGTTCAAAAAGTTTGGGAACTGTTGTCAAACAAAATATAAAACTTGACGAAGAGGTACACAATCTGCACAACAGATCACGCAACATGTCAGCTACAAACTTTCCAACTTCCATTATATTCATTATGTTTAGTAGAAGTCGAGATAACAATGTGTGAAGTTGATAGTGTAAAATGGCTTCTGCGATTTCATTAACAATGGCTTTTGTTGAACAGAGAACAAACATTAAACTTTGCATGAAGCTCAGGAAAAGTGATGTGAAAACCTTTCAAATGTTGAGTATTGTGTATGAAAATTCTACCAAGAGCAGATCAAAGATGTATGATTGGCATAAACAGTTAAAAAAAAGTGTGTGTGTCAACTGAAGATGATCAAACAGCTGGCAGACCATCAACATCAATGACTGAAACAAAAAAGCAGGAAGTAGAAAAAGTTTTCCTTTTTAAAATCAATTTTTCAAAAAAATATTTCCTCAAAAAATTGATGAAACTTCATGGGTTAATTCTACAGAAATAACCACCGTTTTTTGCCTGGACCACATTTAATCAGAGACAATAGCTTATCTTTGTATTCTTTATTTTCTTACTTACTATGCATTTCGGGTGCAATATTTTCGTATCACTTGCACCCCTCTTTAGGTTTTTTTACATTTCTATATATTGGTAAATTCAATTATTACATTTGTTTTTATGGTAAATTACAATAGTTATTTGGATATATTTATACAATAGTTAACTAACTTGTTTTAAGTTTAGACTTACATCTGCCCAGTGTTGATGTTGTGTCCCCTAAGGCATTTTTAGACTATTTTCCCCTCTTTTTGTTTTCTTTCCCTTTAGCTCCTTCCATTTCCTCCCACACGTTCTCAACCTCCATTCCTCCGGTCTAGGCAAAAAAATGGTGGTTATTTCTGTAGAATTAACCTATAAGTTTCACCAATTTTTTGAGGAAATATTTTTTTGAAAAATTGATTTTAAAAGGAATATAAAGAAAACTGCACCATTGATATATATATACATACCTATTACTTATAGCAAAAAAAGTTTTGTTAAATAATCGTTGATTAACCATACAAAAGATTGCAGAAGAGGCTGGTGTTTCAGTGGGATCTTGCAACAGCATTATAACTGAGTTAGGCTACTCAAGAATAGTAGTAAAGTTTGTTCCACAAATTCTGATGTTAGAGCAAAAGAGGGACAGAAAAGCAATTATTAAAGCTGAAGCAGATGAAAATTTCTTAAAATCAATACTTACTGGTGATGTGACATGGGTATGAGAGTATGATAAAGACTAAATAGCAGTCAACGCAATGGATGAAAAAGGAAGACCCTCACAACCAAAAAAAGTTCAAATAAGTCAGTCTAACATGAAAGTGATGGTAATCATTTTTTTCAATTACCAAGGAGTTGTGCACAAGGAATTTGTTCCACATGAATCAACTGTGAATGCAGAGTGCTGAAATACTGTACTGACTTCAAAAAGATGTCAGATTAAGCAACCAGACTTGTGGCACAAACAAGAATAGTTTCTCCATCACAATAATGCTCAGCCACACACAGCATTACTCATCCAAGACGTTTTAGCACATAATGCTCTTCCCACTGTGCCATAACTGCCTTATTCATCTGATTTGTCATTGGCTGACTTCTTCCACTTCCTGTATTTGAAACACATTTGAAAGGATGACGTTTTGCATCAAGAATTCAGATGCATGCCGAATTGCTGAAAGCACTAAATGACATGCATATTTTGCAGCATTTCAGGATTGAAAGAAAAGATTTCAGAATTGTATAGTAGCAGAAGAGTGTATTTTGAAGGTAACACCCATATAAATATAAGTTAAAAATAAAGGATTTAGAGCGAGTCCCCAAACTTTTTGAATACACTTTGTAAAATACTTTGTTATCAAAATTAGTGAGAGAGGAAAATTTATAACAGACTGATATTTTTTAAGTACGAAGAAAGCCTAAAGCATTGAATTAAAAGGTTTATTGTGCACATCAGATTAGTAATAAACAAATAAACAAGAATATTATTTATTCCAAATAATAAAACATTTGTTTCTTAGCAGAAAAAACTTTAAATATATCATGTAATCATGTAACATCTCAGAGCTCCATATTTTAGAAAGTTACAGAGTTATACACAAAAATGAAAACAATTGTAATGAGGTCTTGATTAAGTTTCAAAATTTCAACCAAATTTGTTTTAAAAGAGAAAATTGTTTTATATGAATGTTCTTGGTCAGTAAAACATTGGGAAAAAAAGTCATTTTGTGAGAGAAATAGAACAAGAATTCAACCCTTTCTCCAATAATTGCAAAACGTGAAATAAAATGTTCAATGAAACCAAATGTCACCTGAATACAGCTGGCAATATTTATAACTGGGGTAAAATCGCTTTACTCTGAGTTATGAGTGGAAATTATGACAATTCACTGAACATCTCTGACTGGTGTCTGATCTCCGAATTTGGTCCTGAAAAGCCTGGCAACAAACTAGGAGCCAGCTGAAAAAGGGGAAGAGGGAGATCACAACCAACCAGAATGTCTGATCAGAGGTGCAAAATCTTTAAAAAAGCTCAAAACTCAAAGATATGTGGGCTTTTTCTATCAAGTCAGTCCTATTTTTGATTAAGTGATATATATGACTTGGAAATGAGTGATGAACAGCATGTATGTTTCTTTGATTCTTTTATCAGTGCACTATCCATTAAGGATACCAATTCATCGATAAGAAGAAATGATGAGCCATGGCAACCTCATACTACCGAGACATTGTATCCCCAAGAACATCAAAGTCATTAGAACTTACTGTATCTACATCCATTGAACTAATTTTAAGCAAAGGCGATCTCCTAAGCTTCTGTAAAATGTCTCTTGTATTTTTGATAAACAGATGTTAACTGTACACAAAGTTCTTGCCTTGTCATCTAATGCTAGCACCCACATACACAGTTCACATTTTACCATCCAGAATGACATCATCACTTTCTTAAATAGCAGTGTGTCAACCACACCGCTAGACAATATCTGGTTTGTGATAAGACATCATGGGGGTCCTCACAATTATATATTTGTAAAGATCCAAAGATCCCCTCATCCCTCTCCTACTTTTTCTAGGGCTACACCACCGAGTAAAGCCTTATCCTTTGTATGTATGTATGTATGTATGTATGTATGTATGTATGTATGTATGTATGTATGTATGTATGAAACTGCCACCCAAAGGAAAGTAGATAAAATTCTAGCTGTTGGATGTATTCTTAGCATTCTGCCTTTCTTCAGAAAAGCCAATATTTTTTCTCTTGTTCTCAAAAAGCAGCCTAAACCATCATGAAACTCTCACCCTTTTATCATTTAGAGTAGATTTCCCTCTTCTTTCTTAAATCATGCAAATAGTATTGGAAACCATCACTCATCTGAATTGAACTTTTTCTCATATGACCATACTACATTCCTCCACTGTTCTTTCCAAGTCCTGTGATTTCTGGCCCAAGTCAGTCTGCAGCTTGTGCTTGTCCGTAAGCTTTGGTTCTGACTTTATTTTGGCATATTTGAGAAAATTGACAGCATGAACTACTGTCCCCAAGTAATTCATGCTGTCCAAACTGTTCCCAACATACTCCTTATTTGTCTTTTGCAGCACTATTTCTCAGAGTGCTTGTTTCATTTGTAATTTTCCTTAAAATTGCTCATTTCTTATGAGAAGTAACTTTTTGTGGCTTCCAGGACTTTGAACTCCATTTTCTTCATCTACTTCAAATAATTCCTGATCAAGCAAATCAATCTTACTATTTTTCTAGCCATAGATCTTATTGACTGACCAGCTTCTCTAAAAACACTTATTTTACTCCTTATTTGAATGCTGAAAGTATCTTGCCCTTCCCATTTTGCCCTTTCAGAATTAACAATGCTTTGTTATACAAGCTGATGACAATTTTTGGTTGTCATAGCAACAATTATATATATCAGTGGTTAGATGACTTGGTTTCATACATATCCAGTTAAACATATTTAAAAACTAAGTGAAAAAATATATACGGAAATTAAATTTTTGAGTATTCTTATCATTATTAAACACTAAAAAATAATTTTCTTAGGAATAATTAGCCTGTTAATTTATTTAGAATCATAATTATTAGTGTATAAGGGTGTTTTTATGAAAGAAATAAGTGACAATGAGCAATTATTTATTGTGACATCATCACAACGCCAAGCTGCAATGTTCTCCACCTCAAATTATTAGTAGTGTCTTGCCCATGCACTGTACATCATACTTTTCCTTTAACAAGAGAGTCATGCAGGTCATCTATTAATTGCTTTCAGAGGAAAGTTTTGAACTGAAATAAAATAACTTCCAGTTTGCATTAGATGTTCATATATAATTAATTGGGACCTCCAGCCCATAAAGTTTATATATTTGGTCTTGGATTTCACCTATCTAACTCCATTCTCAAGATTAAGGAAAGACAGACAGGTGGATGAACAACAGTGAAAATTTATAAGTCTATGGTTTTTTCAAATTGCAGCCCAATAATCAGAAAGTAATAACTCCTAGAACTTTGAAGTTATTCATAAAATTTCAGATATTTTTATTTTTATTGAATGCACTGTACTTTTGGTTAAATCTAGCAGTATAATTTTGTCTTTTTTGATCCATTAACTACGTTTTTCTCTTATTAACTTGGTTAATTGGTTAGTTGATCTTTATTGATGGAAGGGCCATTTTGGCAAATCTGTACCGTTCAAACTTCTTGATTTTGTGCATGTGTTACATTGTCACTTTTAGCTTTTAAGATGCATTACCTCTGTTATAAGATAGTTTTATTTGCAAAAGTGATTTGACTATTCATTTAAGTAACAAAATCATGTTTTGTGTTTTGATGAATGTACACATGATTTTGTTACTTAAATGAATAGTCAAATCACTTTTGCAAATAAAACTATCTTATAACAGAGGTAATGCATCTTAAAAGCTAAAAGTGACAATGTAACACATGCACAAAATCAAGAAGTTTGAACGGTACAGATTTGCCAAAATGGCCCTTCCATCAATAAATTGTTTTGTGTTTTGATGAATGTACACAACTACCCATGGTTTTCCTCAGGCCCAAAATGATGTTTTCTGGCAGCAATTCAAAGGCCCATCTATCAGTAGACTGTGTGTTAATAACCATACCCTCCCATTTTCCATAAGCTAGTCAATGTCTTCTCATCAAAATGGCTCAAATTGTCATTTCACATGATCAATGCTTTGTTAATAAGTACTATAGCTATAGATAAATGTTTATTGTTATGTTGTAGACCTGTCAATATTGAAACAGTTCAGATTGGTAACCATTCAAGCAAAAGAAAAAAATAAAAAAAGCCTACCAACATAAAGTCTACCACTGGAAAAAAACAACAATAAACTTAACATTGTATTGTGAAAACTAATATACTTAGTAGTTTCTGTTTTTATAACTAACATATGAGGATATAGCCTCATATGAAGTTAAAATAACAAATAAATCCTTCAAGATCAATTAGTGTATTTTTAATATCTAATTAAGCATGATGTAGTTGCATTAGTAATTTATATTAAAAATTAGTGATATTTATCTTTTAACTAATATAAATTATAAACTTTCATTATGTTCTTATAACTATACATATTCATAAAATAAGTAGGTAAATTTTAAATATGATGTTTTAATTAAATTATCCTATCATTCTACACTTTCTAAATCCAAATAAAAACTAAACCTCAGTGCCAACTTATTTTATATTAATTTTTTTATTACTACTTATTATTAACTTGTACTACTTACAAAAAAGTAAGTGGTACAACTTAAGCAAATTTTTAAAAAAGAAATATTTTGTAATAAAAAATTATAAAAATACCTTTTTATATCACCATGAATCAAAGGTACCTTATCAGCTGTATGTAAATAGTTCAATCCTTTGGCTGTCCCTATTGCAATAAAGCTTCTTTGAAACCAAGTCAAAGGTGCTGTACCATTCTAAAAAAAAAAAAAAAAAANCAATAGCTGACTATAAATCTTAAATAATTTTTTTTATATCTTAATTCTTTTACCATTTGAAAATGCACAAAATATTTTTGTTTTAAAAAGATATACAATTTTTGAACATACTTAAATTTAACCAATTTTTAGGAAATCTTATTTTGATTATTATTTAGCCAATCTCAAGCCATACATAAAAGTATATAAATAAAAAAGAGAAATTTATGTTATACTCAATTAAAATTAAAAACTCAATTAAAAAAGTCATTTTTATAATATATAAAAAGATTAATAAAAACTATTAATAATAATACTGAATGAACTTTTTAAATAAAATTAGCAGCATTTAATATAAACACTACTGATTTTAATAGCACTTTAATACAAATGCATTCTACTATAATTACTTTTATCCATGCTTTTGAATAATAAAATACTTCTTTCATAATAAAACATAAGACTTAATCTATACCAAAAGCTAGAAAATTTATTCCATTTCTACTTACTTTGCACCTCAAGCGATCTTCTAAAGAACCATTATCCATATATTGATAAACAAGACAGGGTTCTTGGCCATCAAGACTTACACCATATAATGGAAGAATATTATCAATACGAGCACTAAAAATAAAACAGTTCATTTTAAATCATAATTTAATAATTAAGTACTGATATACATACCATATTTCCTCACTTAATTCCCAGTTTATTTTTAAAACATACAGTAGACACCCTAAAACATGGTAGATAATTCCATGTTATATGAATTCCATGTTGTACAAGTCACTTAGATTTTACAAATACATGAGCTGTTCACAGCCCGGCACATGTATTTGTAAAATCTAAGTGACTCGTACAACATGGAATTCATATAAAACGGAATTATCTACCGTGTTATAGGAGGTCTACTGTATATACCAGGGGATTTTTCAAGGCCAATGTTTATTATCTTGCAACTGGAGATGAGTGAATAAAATTGAAAGAAATACCTTAATTACTCACACATATTCCAAACTATAATTTGGTTTTAATGTAATTCATATACAACAATACAACACATGGGCAATCTGCTAATGGGAGAGTGCCTCCTGGAGATCTTTTATGGGGGAAATTGGCTGCTATTTAGGTGTTACTAATGTGAAGAAAACTCAAAACTCCACCTGGGCAGCCTATTGGCAAAGCACGAACCCATGACCAACTACCAGTATTCTCTGGTTTTATCCACTCAGCCACTGATAGTCTTCCAAACTATCAAAACCATTTATTGTCAATATGAATTACACCTACAACATTTAAAATAATTACTATTTTCACAGTTAACCTGATTCAGTGTTTACCAATTTGGTTATTACATTGTCATTCTTGTCTACTTTGATGTCTTTGTAAGAATCAACATCATGATTTCTCTTAATTCCTACCTCTTATGATTCTAAAATTCTACTTTTTCCAATTACACTCTTTGACCAATCAACTCTCAACTTAAGAACTTGATTGCAACTTTCCTATGTTCAATATTCAACAATATTTATTTTTCGTTTTAAAAAATGTTTCTATGAACCTTGAAACAAAGTACAGTACTATCCAACCTCAGACAATTTGAAGAAGTAGAATTTTAGTTAAACTTTTCACCTGCCACTCTGAACTACATTAACATACACAATGCAATATTTGTACATGTTTCCTGTGCTCTTCAACCCAGGGTTTATTTTTAACAGCAACTTTATTCCAGGATTTAAAGGAAATACAGTATATAATTTTAAAAGCTTCAGTTATTAAATATCAATTAAGAATTCAACTTATTAATTTGCAATTCAAATCTTAATATAATTTAGTTTTCTAATTTCAGAATAAATTTCTTCAATACTATCATCATTGTAAGAATATCATAAATCTTTGTTTTTAATGTAAATTTCTTTAAACTTTAAAAATTTTGTTAATCTCTAAAAATATTTAAGTATTATTTTTAATAAACTTCTATTTTTCTCTGTTGTAAAGAAAAACATTACTTGTATATAATTTGACTAAATCCTCTAGATTGTATAACAGTTTAATATACTTGATTGAAACTTTTACCAATGTGAAAAACTCAATAATAAAATCTTTAAGGAAAGGAAAATTGTTTAATTAAATATTTCATTTATGTTATCATACTGAAAGTTAACTCAACTCATGACAGTCATAAAAATTCTCAATATGATACAAACTTTTACTTGTTTTTGCTACTGTTATTAAGAACAGAAAGATTCTCATCAAGAAAAAAGTTGATTTCATAAATGCTCATCTTTCATCTAATTTCAATTTTTTACTTACAATAATATATTCATACTAATTATTAAAAGTTGAAATGAATTTTGTTTATTTTTAATTTACCCATTATTATTTCTAGTCTATCTTAGATTAGCATCAATGTCTGCTTGAGAAGAATTAAATTTAACAATTACAATGATTGCAATACAGTTAAAATAATATAGTAATTATCCTTTCTCTTATTAAAAAATAAATATTTAAAATCTCATCAATAAAGGTTATTTAGAGTTCTTTTATCTATAAACAAATATTTTTGATAAATTGGTATTTTAAAATCTGCTATGTTTCATTTATCATGATTTTCCCTTGTCCTCAAATTAAAATTTTAAAAAATATGTATATTTTTTAAAAAAGATACATAATAGCTTTAGAACTGTTTAAAAGAAATTCTATTGTTAATATGAAAAACTTATGAGATTAAAACAGAGAAAATGCAGCCAAAACAAAGCAATAGCCCAATAAAAATGAACAGATCATTTGATATTGCTAACATATCAGGTTGTGTATGTTGTTATATAGTTGTACAGATGACTGAGATTTCCTCAATAAAGAGCAATTCAGCTAAGAGTGTACAAACTTCTGGGAGGGTAGGTTGCACAAAGACAAATCTGAATCATATAGTTATGCTGGGTCAAACACCATCTTCATGTGCTAATGTACAGAGAGGACAAAAAATGAAAGTGCAGCATATAAGAGAACAAAATACTTTTTATTACTCACAAGACATTTGCAAAATGCATTGAGGTTACAGCAGTTCATGATCATAACTTTGTGACCATGAACTGTAACACACACACTTGACATCATCAGAACATGGCATCATGTACATTTTGGAAAAATCCCAATGTGTCTCAAACTTCTAGAGCAGCTACAGAAATGCATGTTACAAGGTCCTCATCACTTTTGCAGGAATGTTGTACATCAGTCTTTTGATGTAACTCCAGAAGAAGTAATCAAGACACGTTAAGTCTAGCAATGAATGGGACCATTATGCCCAATCCACTGATGTTCAAATGTCATGTTTCAGTGATGACGAACATCATTGCTGAAATGGGCAGAGACCTCATCCCACTGGAATCGCATTGCATGGTGCAGTGACAGGAATCTGTTGTTCATGCAGTAAGTCTAACAAGATGTCCTCCAGAAATATCCAAAATGCCATCTACCTCACAAAGATGGCATTTCTGACCCAGCATTGCTATATGATTCCAATTTGTCTTTGTGTAACCACCTCCCAGAATCACCCTATATATATTTCCCACAACAGTGGATTGGTTGAACAAAATCAATATAATCTGGCCAAACTGGCTATTTCATTCTGTAGATGACTGCTTGATTTTTCTTCCAGTTTGAGTTTGGTAAGAAATTCAATTCAGATAGAATGTCTGCCATTTGTGATATACCAATGACACTCACATCAAACTAAAATGACTGTTAAAGATAAACCTTAATACATTCTGCTGTAAATCAATAATTCAATAAGTTTTCTGATTACAACTTTCAAAGCATGTAGAATTTTAAAGTTCTTTTTTTAGATCACTCTACACATTAGGCATCTTCATTAACATTTAATAAATTAATTTTGCTACAATATATGCAAATGAGTTATTGTAAGTATAAATACCAAATATGTTTTACTTGATAACAAACTTCAAATAATGTATTCAAAAAGTCAAGATGGAATCACTTAAAATAATTTCAATGTCGAGAATATTTTAAAAATATAAAATAGTAAATTATTATGTTTTGTTATCCTAAATTATTACGAAAAGCAATTCTTTTGATACATATTGTGAAAACTAATAATTTTATTTAAATTTATTCAAATGTATGGCATTTTACACTTTAATATTTTTTGACAGTATGAATTAAATATTTGATATATCTTTCATTATTAAACTTAAAATAATTTTTATGTAATTTTTTATAATAATACATACCAATTCAAGAATTTCAGTTCATTCAATGATTGTTTTATGCTAACTTCTTCTTTAGATATTTTATTATGATCATTTTTCTAAAATGAAATATTAATTTTATTTACTCAGAGAAATAAATATTTAAAGCTAAATTATAATAAAAAATGTAATTCATTTTATTATACAATTTAAACACACACACCAAATTGTGAATAATGCTGCATTTACATACAAATATACAAGTCAGATGACAATTTATTTAGCAAACTTTCATTAAAACAAATAAAAGCATGTACACTCCTCAAAAGTGAAATCACCATGAAGAAATGTGCATAGCCACATTGCAGGACTTGTAGAGGTGATAGATATACACAAATGATTAAAAGAACAAACAAAGATATGCAACAGATCTGTTTATTCAGTAATGAATATGGCCCCATCAGACAGCTATATAGAACATTATACAACGAGGCAATTAATTAATGGTTGCCTGAGGTATCCCTTGCTAAGCTGCATCCACTGTGGCATACATGTCATCTATGGTATGTAGCAGTGGTATCCAGTGCACCTCATGTTGAATGAGGTCCCACAGATGTTTGATGGGAGAAAGATCTGGCAAGGATGCCAACCAGGGAAGAATATGAATTCCATTCAGGCTGATGAGAGTTTGTCATGCAACATGTGGTGAGGCATCATCTTGCTGAAACACCATGTTGGGTGCAGCAACTACAAGGAGAAACAAGCCCACAATTCTTGTGACTTGCCCATCCACTGTCAAAGTACAAGGAATGTACATAAGGGATTTGCTGATTGAACATAATGCCTCCCCAAACCACAATGCCAGATGTGGGGCAGGTGGAAAAAAGATTTGGCAAAAAAGCTTGGCATAAATGTATTTCCTAGGATATTACCAGACCTGTCCACAGCTGTCATTCCTCACAGACAGAAGCAGAATTCAGTGATCCAGTTGTGATAACGACAATGACACATGTGACAGTGTTGAGCAGTTAATGGCACCCCAGTTGCTGGTTGACATGCATACAGCCCGACTTTATGCAACCTATTGCAAATGATTTGGGTGGACACAGATGCACCTGTTAATGGCAACAGGAGACTTCTGATGTCACTTATCATGGCAAACAGGACCTGATGGGCCATTTGGTGAATCTGCCAATCTGTGCACTCTGTCATGTGTCAGTGCAATCCACTACCTCTTCAGCACGTTTACAAGTGTTCCTGAGTCCATTATGTCACACATCGCTGATGGTATTCATGTCGTGCCTAACATGTGGCAACTGCATACAGACAAACCAAGGATGTGTAGCTCCAGAATACAGTCTTGTTCTCTAGCTGTTAACTAGTGGTATTCAGCTCGCTGTCATCTCTGAGGCATTT